TAAGAGAGATAGTCTCACTGTGTTGCCCTCAGTAGAGCGCTGTGGCATCACAGCTCACAGCAACCTCCAGCTTATGTGTATATATATATATATTTTTAAGAGAGATAGTCTCACTGTGTTGCCCTCAGTAGAGTGCTGTGGCATCACAGCTCACAGCAACCTCTAGCTCTTGGGCTTAGGTGATTCTCTTGCCTCAGCCTCCCAAGTAGCTGGGACTACAGGCACCCACCACAACACCTGGCTATTTTTTATTGCAGTTTGGCAGGCCCAGGTTTGAACCTGCCACCCCTAGTATATGAGGCCAGCGGCCCTACTCACTGAGCTACGGGTGCCACCTTTTCTTTTTTTTTTTTTAATGTTTGGCAGGCCCAGGCTGGATTTGAACCCGCCAGCACTGGTGTATGTGGCTGGTGCCCTAGCCGCTGAGCTACAGGTGCTGAACCTCTTCGGTGGTCTTTTAAAGAGTATAATTTGAATATTCCAATTGTCTTTAAATATTTTTAGCACTTAGCCTAAACATAATTAAATGCAAAAAATTATTTAAATATAGTTGAATGCATATCTGTTAAGAGTAAAGAACTTATAATTACCCTGGAAATCTAGTCTCATCTATTTGAGGCCAGTTATCTTTTTAAGGTCAATTCTTAGGTCCCAAGAGTCTGAACGATCCTTTTACTTCTAGGAAGGTAAGTGCTTCATTTTGCTATGTTTCACTCTGGCTACTTTTTCTTGTTATGATAGGTAATATACTACAAAAAGAAGCACTCCCTTCCCAACACTACAGTAAAAAACAAGATTCTGTTTTATATTTCCTCAAAAAATAGGGAATAATTTAGGATGTGTCTTAACTCCTCAATGGTGCTGATTTTCCCTTTGTTTTATTTCTCCTATCCTTTTATAAATACCTAGAACATTCATATTAAGATAAAAAAAAATGGCACATTTTAATTGACAGTTATGGTTTCTTCCTTTATTTTCAGATGATCACAGTCGGGTTAAACTGCAAAATACTGAAAATGATTATATTAATGCCAGCTTAGTTGACATAGAAGAGGCACAAAGGAGTTACGTCTTAACACAGGCAAGTAGCATGATGCCCAGCAGATACCTGAGAACAATGATTTTTGTGGTGGTTCTGCTTTAAAACAGAGCTAAAAGCATATGTTGAATTTTTTTGGAAATGAAATGCTACTTTATTTTTTTCTGGTGATGCAATGAATTATAGACATTATAAAGTTTTGAGGGTTTGAATATTGAAGATATTAACAGTCAAGTTATTTTTAACTTTATACGTTCTGGGAAGGAAAATGGAGGCCAGTTCTTTGCAGGCAAGTTCTCTACCTTGCTTTGTGTTTGACAGAAGCTTAGGTTAAGCTTTGTTAGCTTCTTCCCTTTCTGTTTCCATGCCCTGGAGCTTTATCCAGAACTTTGAAAGCTCTTCTCTACCCTCTGGCATGTACTTTTAGAGAGTACCTTGCCTTGGGTGTTGTCTGGTCTCTTTTAGGGTAGGGTGACCAGATTTTAACTTTTGTAAAGCGGGACAACATGGCTGGGGGGCAGGGTGGGGCAGGGCCTGACAACAATGCAAACTTTGATACGCAGTTCTCGATAATCACTTCTCAACAATTATTTGTAATTATTACAGTTTAACATTATAAAATTAACAAAAATAATATAAAACTCATATTCTGGCGAAATAGCCACATGGCAGCCGAAAACCGTATATTCCCTTTCTGTTCTCCTGCCCGTTCGTGCATTCTTTCTAAAAATCAGGACTTTTTAAAAACACCGTGGGACGCGGAACAAATTGTTAAAAAGCGGGATGTCTGGTCACCCTATTTTAGGGTCCAGAGGATGCTGAGACCAGATGCCCAAGGCTAAGTGGGGAGCATTGTTCTCTGTGTGCTTTATGTAATTTTAACCCTGGGATGATCCTCTGTGGTAAATATTGTTACCCTCTCTTCCGTGGAGTCTATAATAAGACCCAGAAATACTAAGGCTTTTTTCTTTTCTTTCTTTCTTTCTTCTTTTTTTTTTTTTTTTTTTTTTGAGACAGAGTCTCACTATGTTGCCCTCGGTAGAGTACCTTGAAGTCACAGTTCACAGCAACTTCAAACTCTTGGTCTTAAGCAATTCTCTTGCCTCAGCCTCCCAAGTAGCCAGGACTACAGGTGCCCACCAGTGTCTCGCTATTTTTTGGTTGTACTTGTCATTGTTGTTTAGCAGGCCCGGGCCAGGTTCAAACCCACCAGCCCCAGTGTACATGGCTGGCACCCTAACCGTTGAGCTATGGGCGCCAAGCTAATACTAAAGCTTTTTAACAAGTAGTATGAAACCAAGATTTGAAGCCACATAGGCTCCACAGTCCTGGACAGAAGTATCAAGTGATAATTCTGTTCTACTGCCTTGTGATTGCCATGTGACCTTGGACAAGCTACTATACAGGCTTTCCGAGCCTGTGGGATACTATCTACATACCTACTTGCCTATCTAATCTGTCCGTCATCTACAGAACAGTGCTGTGAGAAATGGCTGTTGTACCTAACATTGTAGTTGTAGTGATAATGGTAATAGTAATGCTTTTATAAAAGATCCTAAGTCCTATTACAGTAAAGAAAATGCCTGGTTAATACCCAGTGGTGGTTCTTAAATCTCTTGTCCCTGTCAAACCATTTTTATGTGTCCGCATGGACACCCACTCACCCATCCCCGCCCCTGGCTCAGCGTGTGGGAGCTCAGAAGCCTATCTCCAGCCTTTTCTTCCCCTGAATTCCTCTCTGCATTTGTCAGGTCTCTCCTATTTATTTTCACCTAGAACTCAAGTTCTACAGTCTGTATCTTTTTTACCAAGCCAGCTCCCTTCCTGTCCTCATTCTCTGTTATGTCTTCTCCCATCTCCTGTGGTCCCCGCCCTTTTTAGGGGCTCTCTGAAATGTCCCTCATGCCAGGGCACCAGCTTTTTAAGGTCTCTCCTTTCCACTGTCCTTCCCACCCTGCAGGGCTGGTTTCCTATTGTGTACCCTGCTTCCACCCCACTGATCTTGGGGCCATTTTCCTTGAGCGTGGATTTTCTGGGGTGCACTCTGATTCCCTCCCTCCTTTAGAAATGTGTTCTCAGGGTCGGGGTGGAGCCTATAATCCTAGCCAGCACTTTGGAGGCTGAGGCAGGTGGATTGCCTAAGCTCACAGGTTTGAGACCAGCCTGAGCCACAGCGAGACCCCATCTCTACAAAACAGCCAGGCATTGTAGTGGGCACCTGTAGTCCCAGCTACTTGGGAGGCTGAGGCAAAAGGATCACTTGAACCCAAGAGTTTAAGGTTGCTGTGAGCTAAGATGCCACGGCTCTCTACCGAGAGTGACCAAGTAAGACTCTGTCTCAAAAAAAACATACTCTCTTTGTGTCAGGTAAGGCTCTGCTGTATTGTCCCTCCTCGTCCTTCCTACCCCTGAGACCTGGTGGCTTACTCTTCTTCTTGACGTGATCGTTAATCATACAAGTCCTTCTTCTTGCCAATACTGAGAGATCCTTGAGGGCAAGACTAGATCTTGATTGTGCTCTGTCCTTGTACCTGGTATGGTGTTTGGAACAGAGTACATACCCAGGAAGTAGTGAAAAAGTGGAGACAACAAGAGATACTGGACACTTATTACCTGTAGTTACTTAGTATTTTACTTTTTTATTTTTAATTAATTAATTTATTTTTTTGAGACTGAATATCACTTTGTTACCCTCGGTAGAGTGCAATGGCATCACAGCTCACAGCAACCTCAAACTCCTGGGCTCAAGTGATCCTCTTACCTCAGCCTCACAAGTAGCTGGAATCACAGGTGCCTACCACAACACCTAGCTGTTTTAGAGGCAGGGTCTCACTTTTGCTCAGGCTGGTCCGAACTCCCAACTTCAGGCTATCTACCTGCCTTGGCCTCCCAGAGTGCTAAGATTATAGGCATGAGCCACCATGCCCAGCCTGTTACTTAATATTTTAATCATCTTTTTCCTCAGAGTTTTATGAATTAGTTCAAGCATCTTCAAACTACAGCCCACAGGCCACATGCAGCCTGCCTAGGACCTTTATCCAACCCGCTGGGTGTTTTTGCCGCCGCTACCTGTCCTGCTTGGGAGCCAATTAGTCCCAGGGCCCGTAGTCTGGCCCTCCAATGGTCTGAGGGACAGTGAACTGGCCTCCTGTTTAAAAAGTTTGAGGACCCCTGAATTAGTTATTTAAAAAATCAGCTTCTTAGCATATTATCTCCATTTTGTAGATGAATAAAATTGGTAGCATTGCTACTAAGTGGAATAGCTGAGAAATAAATCCCTGTCCCTCTGATTTAAAAAAAAAAAAAAAAGCCTGTATTCTAGGCCTGGTGCAGTGGCTCGTGCTTATAATCCTAACGCTTTGGGAAGCTGAGGTGGGAGGATCACTTGAGCCCAGGAGTTTAAGACCAGCTTAGCCAACATCGTGAGGCATCATCTTTACAAAATCTTTAAACATTAGCTGAGCATGATGATAGACACCTGTAGTCCTAGCTACTTGGGAAGCTAAGGCAGAAGGATCAGTTGAGCCCCCGAGTTTGAGGCTGCTGTGAGCTACAATGATGACACTGTACTCCAGTCTGGGCAACAGAGGGAGACCCTGTCTTAAAAAAAAAAAAAAGGGTGGTGCCTGTGGCTCAAGGAGTAGGATGCCAGCCCCATATGCTGAGGGTGGCAGGTTCGAGCCCAGCCCCAGCCAAAAACTGCAACACCAAAAAAAAAGGGGAGGGGGACAATTTATTTAACCAAAACATTTGTGCCCCTGTAATATTCTGAAATAAATAAATAAAGTAAAAGACCCTTGGTCTTTATATTATAGCATCTGTCTTCCTATTTATTATTTAGTCGTTAGAGCCATTGAATTTTGGGTTGTGCACATCAAGGAGTGGCCTCACTGGTGAATTGCTGCATCTATATTTTTGAAATTAAAGAAAAAGGCATTTATTTTACTGGGGATTTTCTTGTTGCTTTTTCCCTTTTAAGTTGTATATGAATAATACATACATACATATGTTGAATGGGGAAGACTGTCCTCAAACTTTGGTTTGCAGGCTTCTAGTAGATTTCTAGGATTTTTACAATTTAGAGTTTATTTATTTATTTATTTATTTTTTTGAGATGGAGCCTCAAGCTATCCCCCTGGGTAGAGT